AAATACATCTTAATGTAGATAACAAAACAAATACAAAGATTTCTTTAGAAATTCAGAGAAAATCTAAGACAAATCTAGGTATACCTTTGTCTACGCATACTCAAAGATATGGGATTTTTTTTTTCTGAGGAAGATTCACCCTGAGCTAACATCTGCTTTGTGTATGTGAGCCGCCACCACAGCACGGCCACTGACAGAGTGGTGTAGGTCCACGCCTGCAAACTGGGGCTGGCCTGGGATTTTTTTTAAATTACAAATTATATCGTAGTCAAATTACAAATATGTATTTTGTATAATAAATTTAAGATACAGATAAATTCGAAAGAAAAGAAAAGACCACCACATCCCAGAGATGATCACCTTGGTTTCTCTTGTACCACGGATTTATCTTAATTTACCTTAACAAACTGCCAAACTTTTAAGTCTTTCTGGTACTCAGTGCATAATTCCTAAAATTCGCCTCTGTTATGAACAACCTCATAAACCAAACAATATTTGTAAAATTAACATAGTTTCTTCTGGAAAGCAAAAGGACATAGTTTTATTTTCCTAACTATAATATACAACATCTGGAAAATGAGTAGTGAGGCCAAAATAAGCCTTGCATCTATGGTTACTATTTTAAATATATAACTGCTTTAAGACAGAACACTCTAAAAGAGAAAAATAGGCTGAAAAGGTAAGGTTAAATGTAAAAAAAAAAAAAAAAAAATTATCTGATTAAGATTGAGTAGCAATTTTCTGGGGCCGGCCCGGTGGCATAGTGGTTAACATATGCTCTACTTCGGCAGCCTGGGATTCACAGGCCTGGATCCTGGGTGTGGACCTACACACCACTTATCAAGGCATGCTGTCGCAGGCGTCACACATACAAAGTAGAGGAAGATGGGCACGAATGCTAGCCCAGGGCCAATCTTCCTCAGCAAAAAGAGGAGGATTGGCAACAGATGTTAGCTCAGGGCTTTTTGTGTTTCCTCTGAAAAAAAAAATAAAACTAAAAAAAAAAAAAAAGAATGAATAGCAATTTTCCAGTTCAGCTAAGAATGTCACTGGAATATGCACTAAATAACATTAATTTACATGGTCTAAAACTGAAACACAAGTCCAACATCACTTTAATTTAGTTAAACTTACTTAAAATTAGAAGACTAAACCAGTGATAAACTGGTTTAGGTCCACTATGCCATCTCTTCTTTATACTTAAAGTAGAGCAGACCCATCAGTAGGCCAGGCAGTGACACGCTTTTTCCAGCAGTAGTGAAAGGTTATAGGATTATGAGCTAGCCAGACAACTGCCCGTCCCTTTTTAACTTACAGGGGTTTGAGAGCCTGTATCCATGGAATAATTTCTTTTTGTATAAGGCAGACCTATCTATAAAGAAAATGAAGAAGTAACCTGGTCTCCTAAGTGTTATACTCATCTAACCTAAAGTGCTAATTAGCTCATTTCTAAGAGAATCGAAGAGGAGTGGATAAAACTGATTTTCACACACTGAAGCTAACTAGTAACAAGTTTAAAACAGAATTATCATTTTAATATAATAAATTTTAAATGATTTATATAGTTTTAAATTTGCATTACCATTTAAACACTGATTTGTTCAGGAAAAACTGCATGGGCATTAATTACCTTCCATATCTAACAGTCACAATTAAAGCTGTTTCTGTTTCACAGGATTTTTATTCCAAGTCAACCTATTTCCAATCAGTTATAGATTCTGAAGAATTTCTAGAGGCACATGTAGACATGTTAATTTACATTTCAAGCACTGATGCCAAAGAGCAAAATGTTAATCTAAGTTTAGAATGTCATGAAATATTTATAGAAAAATCCAGTTTTAAAGTTCCCCATTTTTCAAACATCTCCACCGGAAGTTCAGTGGTAAACAGCAAACTAAATTCCAAAAACTAATATAAAAAAGTTATTTAAGTACCTTTTCATTATCATAAAATTACCTGCCCCAAAATAAATACTAAAGAAATATTTAAGACAAATGTTCAACACCTGATCTGGCAAGAACAGCTCTCAGCAGGGTACTGAAATGGCTGGTTGTCTACTGAAATGGTATCTTTTTTCTTTCTAAATTACAGTTTCTACACTTCACTTTCTTCCTGCTCTGCTTATGAAGTAGCCAACATATTCTAAAGTTCCACGTGTGTAAATACAAAATTTCTACTTGAAGAACATATACAAAATAACAGAAAAAAGACAAATGGCTCAAATTCAATTCAAAGAGTAAACACTTAGGAAATTCCAAAACGATTTTTTAGTCAAGAAAAAAAGAGCATACCTGAGGTCTATTTTGTCTTTTAAGAACAACTACAGGAACTAAAGCATTAAAAACAGAAAATGATGCTTTTATCTCTAATATCAGGGTTAAAATCCAAATTGAGACTAGAAACTTGCCAGCTTCACAGTGGGCAAAAGTTCACATTGCCAAACTACTTCCTATGTCCAGCTGGGCAGAATTTTAAGTTAAGAACATCATGCCTTTCAGAAGACTAATCACACTTTTTCAACACTAAATGCGCTCTCACTCTGAAAAGAGGAGCCCTACCAAGGCTGAAATTGCCAGCACTTTTGTTACACAAGATACTATAACTAAATTTCTATGAAAGTAACATTTTTGCTTTTGTTCTTGACAAGCTCCTATATAAGAGAAGATTCTGCAACAATGTCCTTCAATGAACTGATCAATTTGTCGATATTTCATTTTAGGAAGGAGGCAGGGCAGAAGAAATGTGCAGGAGATACAAGCAAAGCAACCAACTACATAAGGGATATCAACACGCATACACATACACTTTAAAGAAACAGAAAATATGATTAAATTGAACTATGGGCTTAATTACAGCCACAATGTAGCCTAATCCATGGGATGGCTAGTAAGTTTTTCCTTTTGAGGAAGAACAGCCCTGAGCTAACATCCATGCCAAACCTCCTCTTTCTGCTGAGAAAGACTGGCCCTGAGCTAACATCTACTGCCAATCCTCCTCCTTTTTTTCCCCTTTTTCTCCCCAAAGCCCCAGTAGATAGTTGTATGTCATAGTTGCACATCCTGCTAGTTGCTGTATGTGGGACGCGGCCTCAGCATGGCGGGAGAAGCGGTGTGTCAGTGTGCGCCCGGGATCCGAAGCCGGGCCGCCAGTAGTGGAGTGCGCTCACTTAACCGCTAAGCCACGGGGCCAGCCCCCGCTAGTAAGTTTTATAATGAGATTTAATAGTATTTTCTTCTGCTATTGCCCTTAGATATTCAGGTTATACTCTAAATCACTGGTTTATTTTCTCTTTTTGACTGAGTCTCCATCAGGAAAAAAGAACAGCCTTAAAGATAGCATTGCATGACACAGTATAATCCCAGATTCACAATTCCTACTCATTTTGGTGCAAGAAACAGATGAAAAAAATAAATTAAACTACAATAGAACACCATTACAATTTAATGTTATATTATAGATTCAGATATACCATGGATCAATCACTGCATGCAAAGCCACCCACAACACAAGCCTGAAATGTGGGTCCTATAAGGTAGGTGTCAGGCAGTCCAATTCAACACCAGTATTATAACGCATGATCTCGTTTAGTTTTTTTTAGAGCACAAGTTACCCAATACATATTACCCCAAAATAAATGTTAAATGAGAACAAAGAACATCAGAAAACAGAACTTTAAAGCAACTATATGACAAATAAACTTCAGGTTCAACATCAAAGCAATTCTATACCACTTTAAATACCATCAAATAAATTAGTAATACTGTAGGTAATGAATATTTAAAGACCTACCTAGGCTATAACACCATATTGTTTTCTGATGATAGAACCATATGTCTTAGCTTGTGTGTGTCTGCAGGAAAAAAACCTCACTAGTAACACACAGGCATTTTAAGGAAACAGTTTAAGATAAACTTTGTTAAGAGTACATTCTTTTAAAACATACTAACCACTTGAAAACCTAATCCATAGATCACAGTGTAAAATAAAAGGACCTCCATAAATAAACAAAACAAAACCCTACTAGATATCAACCTCTAAAGTCATGTTCAAAGTTTTTATCATGTTACTTGTATCTAAAAGAACGTTTTGAGGAGAAATACGTAAAATGAACACAAAAAAAACTACTATGCATTATTTTTATTAAAATCTGACAAAAATCCCAATTGTGAAACATTTGCTTTTATTTCAAAATATTACATTTGAAAGGTTTTAAAAATATGAAAAAATCAACAGACAGCACCACGTCTGACAGTCATGTCTCCCTATAATTTTAAATCAATCAGGAATTTTAAAAAACGGACTTAATACCAATTTAAAGAAAAGAAGTATAATCATTGTAAAACATTTGGGTACCTCTTATGTTCCAGGCAGTGAACTAAGTGCTGCAGGGTAAGACCTAAAAAGATGTAGCAGTCCTCGTCTAAAAAAAAACCCCTTCCCATGGAGAAGAGTGGGAGAAGGAAAAAGGAAGACAGTATAGTAAACGTGTACTGACATACAGGTACAAGAAGCTCAAGGTATTTCTTTACCCATATGTATACATGCCACATTTTTAGATAACTGTAAACATAAACAATTTAAGTGTGTTTCAGAGGAAGAACAGTAGATTGGAGAAGGTAAAGGTAAGAAATACGTGACAAAGTTAACTTATTACTCTACTGGAGAAGGTCTAAGGTCTGACAGAAGAAGACAAGGTACATGCAAAGATAGTTGTACGAATTAAAGATATTCAAATAGCATACTATTTAGCACGACAAAACCAGGAATCCCTCTTCATAAAGAACAGACAGATACAGTTAATGAGAAATGTGCCATAAGAATTTACCAATTATTCAGTAGCTATTATGATCAATGATGACATTTCAGATTTTTAGATACAATGTAACTTTTATCTTTGTTAAACACATGCTAGCTAGGCACTAAATCCAGCTTTCCCAGATGCTTCCATCAAAGTTCACATCGCTAACTAAATACCAAGCCTTGGCTTCAACAGATGTTCAAGTTTGTCCCAATTCTCTCTGTTCTGGGAAAAGAAGGAAGAAATGGAAAACAACACAAAACATAAGTATAAAAGTTCTACTAAGTAGGCTTTTCATTCAAGCATTTGATGTGCTTAAGTTGGCTGCAAATTCTCAAAACTGGATGGCAAATACTTTAGGGAGACATTAGAGAAATAGGAATAGAGTGCAAGACCCTCCCCCCCAAAAAACAAAAAACCAAATAAATATCAACAGTGAATATAAATATCTACCTTTTTTTACTGAGCGGACTTTCTTTGGTAGGAGTAAAGAGATGAGAAGCTAGTCAAATTCCCTGAATACCCACGCACATTCATCTATTCCCCAAAAAGTAATTTCCCCATCAGATAGCAGAGCCAAGTGAACTATGATCATATCAACACCAGGCAGAGAAAACAAAGCAGCGATCTGACTCCGTGTACTCGAGGTACGTGCGCTGAGCTTCCAGAGGCCAGGAAAACCGAAGGTGCCCAACTTAAACATTTATCAGAAATTACTCAGACTTAAAAAAAAAAAATGCAGGAAAACGAAAGGAGGGCCACACTATCCAGAAAGGAATGCATATGCTGAGTCATCACTCTTCATTAGGAAAGGAAGGAAACTCGAATAAGCGGTGGGAAGATGAAATTCATTCATTAGATTGAGCTTCATGTAAAAAGCAACAGCAAGATAGAAGAAAAAGCGCTCAAAAGACACACGTCGAATAGCGGATAAAGACATAATTTTATCCAACTCTGAAGGTCTCGACGCACAAACAGATTAGGAAGAAATAACACCAAATGAGCAAAAGCAGTTTAACAACTGGCTGTCAGTTTGTCGTAGGTAGCGCTCAAAGTAAACTTCGTTATCCAAGAAAGGAAAGATGCTCCGGCAGCAAGAGGCATCCCTTTTGCACTTCAAAAGTAGCGGGCGCCGAGCGAGTGTTTCTGACAGCGTGGGCGGGGGCACGTGGGGCAGAAAGAGTAGGGGCTTGAGTGGCCGAAGAGCGTCCGGCTTCCTCGGAGAGCTCAGCTTGGGAGAAGAGCCGGGAGCGACTGGAGCTGGGGACGTGGAGGGCGTGAGTGCTAATTCCCCCCGGCCCGCAGGGGATGCGGCTGCCGTCCCACCCCCAGTCCCACCCCCACCAGGCCCTGCCCCCGGGGGGACCCGCAGCTCTCGGCCCAGCCCAGGGCCCCAAAAGCAGAGGGACAGCAGGAGCTCTCCCGGGCCTGACAGCCTCTGCGGTGCAGAAACCCGGCCTAGAAAGGGTATGCCAAGAAGGGCGCGAGAGGAAAAGGTCGCAACAAGCCCCAGACCCCAGGAAGTGACTGTGTTTGGGGGAAGGGAGGGCTTCCTTCCCAAGGAAAACGGGACAGAGGAGGAATACACTTCGCGTCCGCGCCACCGCGGCCAGGGAGCCGCCGCGAGTCCTGGCTTCGGCCCCGTTCTCCTGCTCCCTCCCTCAGCGTCCCGCGGCGCCCGGGCCTCTCGGCGCCCGGCACCCCCCCGTCTCGGGTACTCACAGAGTCCGGGGCTGCCCGTCGTCTTCCATCATGGTGGGTGCGACGGAGCGATCCCGGGACAAGGGGGAGGGCAGGGCTGGGGAGGGGAGGGGGTGGGGAGGAAGGGGAGGGGGGCTCCGGGCACCGGCTGGGGACAGAGGAAAAGGCACCGAACCCTGCTCTCGGGCTCTCTCCCCCCAGCCCGCTCCGGACACTGCGCTCCAACCAGGAGGAGCAGGAGGAGGAGGAGGATGAACAAAATGGCCGCCGCCACCAGCCAGGCAGGAAACGGGACAGAGCGCAGGCGCGGCCCGCCAGGTCACCGCTCAGGCCAGACGCGACGGCCTGCAAAGGGAACAACGGAGGGGCGAGAAAAATGGGCCGCTGAGAAAACCCTGTGCCCGGTCACGACGGACCACGTCGTCGCTGTGCGCCTGGTAGCCGGCCGAAGACCAGCAAGCTCAAGAAGAGATCGGGTAAAAAGAAAACCGCCGTGAAGCTGAAGTCTCTGGGAATTGTGGTCCTGGAAATGAAAGAGGGAAGCACTTCTCCAGAGGACTTCTGGGAACTGTAGTCCAAAGGAGACAGCCAAGGGAGACGGCCGGCGCCCGTGCCGCGCTGGGACGAGAACAAGAGACTTGTGGGTAGTGTAGTCGTACGTGAGGACGTGCGGCGACCAGGAAGTCGGCGTGCTGGGAGGGGAGGGGGAGAATAAAAGCGACGTTAAAAGGCGGAGAAACGAGGTGGGAAAAACATTGTCTGGGAAGTAAACTACAAGTCCCAGAGTGCCTCGCGCTGGGGGCTGTCCTAGGAGTGCTCCAGGCATTTTAAGGCTCTTCAGTTGGCTCTTCAGTGAGCTGCTGCTCCGCCCCCGTCTAGCCCGAGAGCGGTTTCTTCAACTGCGGCCAAGGCAGTGCTCTGTCTCCGCGTGGTGTCCGAGCCAGCAGGCCTTTCTGGCCCTCAACTGTTAATCAAAACAGCTGGCCCGCGGTCATCAACCGCCGCCCCGCGAGACGGGCCAGAGGGCTTGGGGGGACCTCGGGCCGGCGCTGAGCTGGGAGCTGCGCTCACCGGGGCCCCTTGGGCTTCCCAAGGGCCGGCTGCGTCCTTTGGGCGCGTTTTTCCGCAAATAGGTATACCCAGCCTAGGTAGCCTGCTTATAGATAGATCAACAAGTTTCAAAGGTTTCCCTATCTATGATCTCATCGGATAAGGGAGTAAGAAGAGCGGTCTACCCATTAAAATGACTCATCGAGTCAGTGTGCGGTGCGGTGATGATGCCCTCCTACCCCCTTATTTAATTCTTAGAGTGAAAACAATCTTTGGGCCGAGACGTGCATAGATTTAAGGTTCTGTTTACAGACATCCATCATGAGGACGGGGAGTGAGGTCTTGCTTGAAAATGGGGGAAGCCACGTTCAAACTGGCTCTAGCCCTGTAGAACGTTTTTTCACCTAACAAAAGTTCACGGTGCGCCTTTTCCCGCCACCTAAGCGTCTTTAGGAGAACGTTACTGAGTTAGTCCCCGCTCTTGTAGCTTAGTGAAGGGTGCTGGTGAAGAAAGATTTTTTTCAGCCTGTTGCCCTAGCTTAAGGGTCCCAGTTAGTGCCTGAAGAGTTGGTTCTACAAACGTGTACTGAGTACTGACTAAGCGGCTGTGCTGCTGGTACCACTGAATCCTAATCCTGTAAGGGTGGTCAGCCGTGCAGCCAAAGCGTTGTAATGTTGATTTGAGGAGGGGAGGGAGATTTCAACCTGGACGTGTTCATAGAGAACACGACAAGGGACCTGAGCCCTATAAGAGTCAGTGGGAACTGCAAAAGGGCACAGAGGCCCGGATCCATGCTCAAGTATATAGTAGTTTTTTTGGAAGGGAGGAGGGGGGAATGCATGGAGTAGGGGTCCTGAGAACTAAGAGAGGTGGGCAGGGGCTTTATGGAACCATATTGTTAAGAATTTATACCAAGCTGAGGAATTGGAGCTTTGTCTTCCAGGCAGTGAGGAGTCGTTCAAGGGTTTTTTAATTTTTTTTAAATTGGACCTAGGTATACAACTGGATTTATCATAATCCAGTTCATCATTGACCCATGTCTGGTCCACTGTATTGTATTAGTTTCCTATTGCTGCTTTAACATGTTTAGTGGCTTAAAACAACAGGAATAATAATTATTATCTTGTGGTTCTAGAGATCAGAAGTCCGAAATCAGTTTCACTTGGCTAAAATCAAGATGTTGGCAGGGCTGGTTCCTTCTGAAGTCTAGGGGAGAATTGATTCCTTGACTTTTCGAGCTTCTAGAGGCTGCCTGCATTCCTTAGCTTTTGGCCCCATCTACCATCTTCAAAAACAGCATAGCATCTTCTTTCCTCTCTGATCTCTGTTTCTGTCCTTATGCCTCTTTCTGACTGGTCCTCCTGCCTCCCTCTTTCACTTTCAACGACCCTTTGTGACGACATTGGGCCAGGATAATCTCCCCGTCTGAAGACCATTAACTTAAATCACATCAACTAAGTTCCTTTTACCATAACATAATATAACATATTCAGTGGTTCTGGGGATTAGGACATAGACATCTTTGGTAGGCCATTATTCAGCCTGCTACACCTGTCTTTATTAATTTAGTTGCTTTTAATAATGTAATAATAGCTGTGAACTCTCCACCCTAAAAAAAGTTATAATGACAGAAATTTACAACTAAATGTATAGTTTGCCTCCCACACACACTAACTCATTCTCCTGCCTCCTCTTACCTTGGATAACCATCATCCTTTACCATTTCTTGTTTTCCTTTTTTACAAAGTTTTTTCCATATATATACATATATATACACCTAAAAAGTGTGTGTGTATACACCTGTATTTTCAAGTTGTTTTTAATGTAATAAAAAGAATATGTCCACTACACACCTATTAGAATTCAAAACAGTCTAAAATCCAAAACAGTCACAACACAAAATGCTGATGAGGATGTAAAGCAACAGGCACTCTCATTCATTGCTGGTGGGAGTGCAAAATGGTACAGCCACTTTGGAAGACATTTTGGCAGTTTCTTACAAAGCTAACTATCTCCTAGGTATTTACCCAACTAAGTTGACAACTCACGGTCCACATAGAAACCTGCACATGAGTGTTTACAGCAGCTTCATTTATAATTGCCAAAAATTGGAAACAACCAGGATGTCGTTCATTAAGTAAATGAATAAACTGTAGTACATCCAGACAAGGAAATATTATTCAGTGACAGAAAGCCACAAAAAGACATGGAGGAATCTTAAACGTATATTGCTAAGTGAAAGAAGCCAATCCGAAAAGCCTGCGTACTGTATGATTCCAACTATGTGACATTCTGGAAAGGCAAAGCAATAGAGACAGTAAAAAGATGACTGGTGCCCAAGGGAGCTGGGGGAGATGAATAGGTGGAGCACAGAGCATTTTTACGGTGGTGAAACTATTCTGTATGATACTGTAATGGTGGATCCCATAGAACTGTACGACACAGAGTGAATCCAAATGTAAACTAGGGACTTCAGTTAATAATAATGTATCAATATTCAATTGCAATCGGTTCATCAATTGCAACAAATGTACCACATAAATGCAAGATGGTAATAATACTGGGACCTTTGCTGGAGTGGGAAGTGGGTATATTGGAACTTTGTACTTTCTGCACAATTTTTCTGTAAACCTGAAATTGCTCTAAAAAATAAAGCCTGTTACAAAGGAAAGAAAACATGCATTTGTACCCTTTTGAGACTTTTTTTCACCTAATGTAACATAGGTAAGATTCAGCCATATTTTATATATTTAGTTCATTTGTTTTCACTATTGTATGTCTGATTTCTCATTGATGGACATTTGGGTTGCTTCCAGGTTTTTACTATTATGAATAGTGCTGCTATGAACATTCTCCTACGTCTCCTATTATAGACGTGCAAGAGCTGTCTTTGGTCTATTCAGGTTTATACTTAAAAGTAGAATTGTTGGGTCACAGGGTATGTGCATATTCAATTTTAAAAGATAACGTCAAATATTTTTTCCAAAGTGGACACACAGATTTGCACTCCTGTGAGCATTGTGTAGGAGGTTTAATGAATGGATCCACATTCTCTTCCATACTTGCTTTTATCAGACTTTTTACATTTTTATCAATTGAAGTGTTAGCTCAATATGATCTTAATTTGCATTTACCTAACCAATAAGATTGAACATCTCTTCATATTTTCTTAGCCATATGTGTTTCCTCTTCTGAAAAATGCCTGTTGATATCTTTTGCCTATTTTTCTATTAGGTTATATGTGCTTTTCTGGTTGATTTTTTTGGAATCTTATGCTAATCCTTTCTCATTTCTGTATATTGCAAATATCTTCTCCCAGTTTGTAACTCGTTTCTCTCTTTTTAAAAATACCTTCAATGAACAAAATTCTTAATTTTAAAGTGGTCAAATCTATTTTTGGATGTGTGTGTGTGTGTGTGTGTCCTGTTTAAGAAATATTTCCCTACCTCAGAGTCTAATTTATAGATTCTGAAACATACCCATACAGTCTTCTAAAACTTTTAAAACTTTGTATTTGACATTTAAGTCATTAATCCACCTGGAGTTAGCTTTTGTATACATGTATGGTAGGGATCCAGTTTCACATTTTTCCGCATGGATAACCGTGATTTTTTAACTCCATTTATTGAACAGCTTTCCCCAACCTTTCCCGATTGATCTGACATGCTCCCTCTGTCATTGTGCAGTTTGGGTCCTCTGAGAAAAAGATACCAAGATGGAATTAGATGTGCAAGAGGTGTATTGAGGGAAACTCTTATGAAGGATGAACGGAGGAGGAACTGGAATAGGCCAGGATGCCCACAATACAGGTTAGACACTTGTGAAAAGAGAGAAGGAAGGAAGGAGAGTTGGCTAGGAATTTCCTCAGATTGATGCGGCTCTAAGAAAGTCTTGGCTAGGCCAGTAGGGAGCCCCTGAGCAAAGATTGCACCTTAGAGGAGTCCCATGTGGGCAGAAATGGCCCAGCTCCAGTACCCGTGCCATCTCAGTCACTGGATGAAAGTGGCCCTGGGAGAGAGCATGGTCTCTGCGTGAATGCTGCAGCGGATGTAAAGTTGCTGTCTTCTAACCTGGAGAAGACCTGGAGGCTGTCCACTGACTATACTTCTTGCAGCAGGTTCTCTTGGAGGGAGGTCTGAGTAGGGCACCTTCATGGCCACCAGAGCCACATACCGGAGTTTCACATATACACCACATATACACATATACACATATACACCATTTGTTTCTGGGCTCTCTGTTCTATTCCATTGGCCAACTTCTCTATGCCTGTGCCAA